TATCTGGTCTTACCCCCTGTGACTAGAGACCTACCAGCAACAAAAATGGGGACAGCACAAAACTGTAGAGAAACCAAGGACTTAGGAAGAAAGAGAGCAGTGACTTGAGGAGGCTGCCCCCAGAGGGCAGATTCCCAAACAGGGCCCATCTCCGTCTGCCCACAATGCCTGGCTTTCTGTGACTTCAGTAGCCATGCTGCCTTCATATAAGGAATATACTCCTTCCGCCCTCTCCTCCCTTCCTTCCTCCCTCACTCCCACTCCCTCTTCCATAGGTCCGTGTACGCTAACAAGCATCATCTTTGGAAAGTATGACTAGCCTCCCTAGGTCTGAGGTTATGAGCCATTTGCACATTAGTTGGAATTGGACCACAGCGTCCTCCCTCGAAGCTTCTTTGTGAGCTGAGCTGCACTGAGGGAAAGAAGCATGCCATTCTCAGGTTGAGAGGACCAGCCCAAATGGGGTGCTTTGGGGGCAGTTAGTTAGAAGAAGCAATACTAGGAGGTGGGAGAACATTAAAAAGAAAAGGGCTAGAAGGATGTGAGGTGCAGCTGTGTTCACCTGTGCCAGGGAGACTGGCTCCTTCCCCGGGAGAGGTCAGGGAAATGCCTCCTAGCCCTTCTGGCCGCTGCTTTTCCCTGAGCGTGGCAGTGCCACTCTAGCCAAAGCCCAGGCTCTGAAGCTCAGTCCACGAATTGCCCCATGCCTTTTACATCTGCAGGTCTTCACAGTAAACACAATAAGGGCCCATCTTTAGGGGACAAGGCTGAGATGCAGAAAGATCTTTACTTTTAAAACGAATGCTTGGCTACATACATTCTTTAGTTAACTACCAATTATCGAGAAAATTAAAATATCAAAAGAGTACTCCACTCCTGAATATCTTCATTCATTTTAGACATTAGTCTCTATAATGCTTTTATAATCAACAGAATTAATGTCACTTCATCCTCAACATTTGCTGTCATTAGATTATCAAAGGAGCCAAAGTTAGTACTCAATTTGCACATTAAATCTGTAACCTTTTCTTGCATGGGGCAGCTATGAGAAAGAGATGGAACATTTTCCATGTGGTAGATTTTCTCCCACCAAGACAAAACCTTTTGAGCAGTGCTCCAGAAATGCATCTGCTGGTCTGGCAGGGGACAGGCCCCATTGAAAGAGAGGGGTACAGGGATCCTGTTCAGTTGATTTCTGCCTAACTGCAGACCCCAGGGCCAGCTGGCACTGAGTGCAATTCCTGCTTTCGTCTGGCAACTGCCTAAAATCTACATGGAGTGGATCTTGCAGAGGAACACAACTTGTTTCAGACCTAAGCTTTCTTTCAGTCGACTAGATTTGGTAGCTGTATTTCCCAAGTGTTTACATATCCTCTTTCTAACACAGATTCCACAGAATTTAATTAGGTCATTTCTTAAGAGCCAGGATTCTCATTGTGAATTTCAGGCATGTTCTCAGAGCTCTTGAGGTGTTCAGGGCTATTTATCTGCAAAGGATGCTAGACTTCTGTGTCTTTTGATTGCTCTGTGTGTTTTCATGTTTCTGTCCTCTCAATGTCCATTTGTGCCACTTGCTGCTTCCAGTGTGCCTGCTATTTCAGCCCAGTATGGGCACCCATAGCCACAATTATCAAAACGGTCCCTAAAATTAAAATCATCGACATCTGTTGAGCACCAACTATATGTCAGCCTTGTTATCAATTGTTAGTATGCATTAATCTGTTTACTGCTTGCAGCTCCTTACAAAGAAGTTACTGGTATAATGGTCCCCTTTTCCAGATGGGGAAATTAAGACACACAGGAAGGCACACAGCTATAAGGGGCTCAGATAGTGCAAGCCCAGAGCCCGCTTTCTTTGCCACTCACCCTGCTGCCTCCAAGAAGCAGCACACTTTACAGGGGCTGATTGGATTTTTGCTCTGCCTGTGTTCTGGAGAGCTGTACCTGAAGATCATGGAGACCACTTTGGAAGCCCCTGGCATTAACGTCACAGAAGGAGAAAACTAAATCCAAATTGATTCATTGGAAAAGATAATGGAACAGATAAAACACTAGCTGGCCTCATCAAGAAATGGGAAAAGTACAAATAGAAAACTAGAAATGATAGAAGGGAATAACCAAATATTGAGGAAATTTCTAAAAGCAAAAGGTAATGTTTCATACAGTGTTCCATAATATGATATTTCCAAGTGGAAATGTCAAGTAGACCACTGTATATGTGGGTCATAATCTTCCCCAACAGACTTTATGTGCTTGTCATGTGTCACCATGAAGCTATCTCCAACAGGTGCTTCAGTGGGAGTCCCATGTCTCCTGGGGGAGGAAGCCATCACATCTTCTAGTAGGATAGGGGCTGCAAACTTATGCACATGGGCCCAATTTACTCACCACCTGTTTTTGTAAATAAAGTTTTATTGGAACATGGCCATGCTCATTCATTTATGTATTGTCTGTGGCTGCTTTCACTCTACAACAGCAGAGTTGAATAGCAACAATGGGAGTCATATGGCCTGCAAAACCTAAAATAGTTACCATCCTGTCCTTTACAGAATAAGTTTGCCAACCCCTGTGCTAGAACCCTGTGATTTTCCCAGTTTCAGAATAGTTTCTGTGCTGGTTTCTTGGTTCAGGATTTCCAGACCAAGTAGGTGGCACACATTCAGACTGCACAAATGCTGATTTCAGGTATTCTCTCTAGTCACAGCCTCTGGATGGACACCCTTAAGGCCACACCTGGAAGCAGTGCAATTGTTCTTGTCTTCACTTTAAAGATTCCTGGCTGCCTTAGTATGTTTGGGAAGCTATAACAAAACACCATAGACTGAATGGCTTATAAACAACAAGACATTTATTTCTCACAGTTCTGAAGTCTAGAAAGTCCAGATCAAGACTCTGATAGATTTAGTGTCTGGTGACCTGCTTCCTGGTATATAGATAGCTGTCTTTTCACTGTGTCCTTACAGGGTGGAAGGGGTGAGGAAGCTCTCTGATGTGTCTTTTATAAGGACACTAATCCCATTCATGAGGGCTCCATCCTCATGACTTAATTGCATCTGAAAGGCCCAACCTCTGAATATCATCACTGTGGGGGTTAGGATTTCAACACGTGAATTTGAGGGGGACATAAACATTAAGACCATAGCACTGGCTATATTCACTTTATTTCCTGCATAACAAATTTGCTTACTCACCCATTTATTACCTCGCAGTTCTGTAGGTTAGAAGTCTGGTGTGGTAAGGCATGCTTCTCTGCTCATGCTGAAATCATGTTATTGGCCAGCTCCACTCTCAACTGGAGGTTGGGGTCCTTTCTGAACCTTATTCCTGTTATGAGCACGGTTCAGTTCCTTGCAGCTGCAGGACTGAAGTCCCTGTTTTCTGGAGAGCTGGTGGCCAGCGACCCCTCTCAGCTCCCACAGGCTGCTCTTGCTCAGGTCCTCCCACCACATCCCTCTCCATCTCACAGCAGCAGGCAGAATTCTTCTCATCACATCTCTGTCATGCTTTGCCTAAATGTGACTTCCTTTTCTGCTACCAGCCAGAGAAAACACTCTGCTTTTAAAAGGCTCCTGTGATTAAGTCTGGGCCAGGGGATAATCTCGCTTTCTTTTTTCTTCTTCTTCTTTTGTTTTTTGGTTTTTGTTTGTTTGTTTTTTGAGACAGGGTCTTGCTCTGCCACCCAGGCTGGAGTACAGTGGTGGTTGAGGCCCACTGAAGCTTCAACCTCCTGGGCTCAAACAATCCTCCCACTTCAGCTTCCTAAGTAGCTGAGATGACAGCTACATACCACCACATCTGGCTAATTTTTTTGTATTTTTTTCTATTTTTTGTTTTGCCATGTTGCCCAGGCTGGTCTCGAACTTCCAGGCTCAAGTGATCCTCCCTGCTTGGCCTCCCAAAGTGCTGGGATTACAGGTGTGAGCCACCATGTCCAGCCATAATCTCGCTTTCTTAAAGTCAACTGTGCCCTATAACATCAGCTAATCACAGGAGAACTATGTCTTCATACTCACAAGTTCCACCCATAACCACAGGGAAGGTGCTACAGAAGGGCAAGGGTCACGGGTCATCTTAGAATTCTGCTGGCCACACTGGCTTTTTGCAGGGAGTTGCGTTTAGCTTTCCACCACAAATGGGCCTCAGGCTTCATCCCTAGTCCTGCTCAGGCTTGGAAAGCCCCAGCACTAGAAGATAGACCTTTTTTCTTTTCAAATTGCTAAAAAATATTTTTTTATTGCATTTTAGGTTTTGGGGTACATGTGAAGAACATGCAAGATTGTTGCCTAGGTACACACATGGCAGTGTGATTTGAAATGCCAGATATAGGTGATGGGGAGGAAGGAAGATAGACCTTTTTTCTAATATGCTCATGGGCCATTCAACCTCAGCTCCCACTCACTTCTCTGGCTTTCAGTTCTCTCATCATTTTCCGTACCTGAGGTTTTCTTTTTCTTGTGTTGAAGATTGGCATGCATTTAAAAAAATGTGTGTTATATTATAACCAATATGTTGAAGGATTTGGAATGATTGGGGTTTTGAATGATTTGTTCCCTCAGCAGCATATCAACAATATATTCCACGTTTCAGAAATATGTTACAAGCTTATACTTCAAATCCATCGAAATAAGTGAACTCTTAGAGTCATACCCTCAATGAGGAGTTACTGGCGTTATAGGAAGAATTAATGGTTGATCAACATGAAAACTTGCCAGTGTGTTCAGGTCTGGGGCATAGTTTCTTCTTTTGCAGTAACTTTTCTTTATGTATCACCAGGAAAGCTAGATATATGAAAATTAAGGAAAGTAAATTGCAGTATCCTTTGAGACCTAAATTCTTTCTAATGAAACAGGCAGTTTAATGGTCAAAGGACAGTCTTAACTGTTTTTTCTTGTCTCAATGCCTCTTTTTAAATAGCTCAACACTGCTAACAGTATATTTATTCTGTTTCCATTCCAAATCTGTAAGCAGTTTTCAAAGTTATAATAAATGCTTTTCTTCAGATGTAGCTGAGCAGTATTTTCAAGAGAGCATGGCTCATCTAAAGGATTCTGAAGGGATTGGAAGAACCAAATTTCTTTCAACTCAAGATGAATTTTGCCATTTTCTACAAATGACTGGACAAAAAGAGGTAAGTGAGTTTGGATCACAATTGTCTAGTTATTCACAGGTGACATCCAAAGGGCTACTCCTACGCTCTGCAAGCATCCATTAAGCACCTACTGTGTGCAAAGCATGTGCCAGTCTCTACAGGGACACATATATAAGGCTAGGGGCCCCTTTCAGTCAGCTTTCAGAGATTCTTGCTCTTAGAAGTTGGAAACTTTATGAGAATATAGATTGTCATGCCCACCTACAAAAGATCCTAAGGAATAGAAACCTTGAGAAGCCTGCTTATTGAAGTCCTGCAGATGTGGCTGGAATAGTGTGGCAGTTAGTATGTCTAATCCCTCTCTCCTCAATTTGGGTAATGAATGGAATTTGCATTATCTAAGGAAAACTACATGGTGCAGAAGTTACAGCTCAGTTTTTTTAGTATTGATTCATATAAGTATGGTTTACATGGCTTGTAAAAATAGAACGAGATCAGACTTTATTTTCATTGGTAATTAAACTCTTGGGAACATATTCCTTGCAAAGCCTAACATACTGTGGCTTTATTTGTGTGTGTGTGTGTGTGTGTGTGTGTGTGTGTGTGTGTACATATTAATACATATGTATATCCAGTCACCCACAGATACTGAGGAACAACTATATATATGTGTACATATATGTGTATATATGTGTATTGTGTATATATGTATGTGTGTATATATTTATGTACGTATGCCCACACCCTCTTCTCAGCCCATCTATGTCCTGTTTACTCTTCACTCCTCTCCATTAAGCTTTTCTTTTTTTCTTTTTCTTTTTTTTTTTGAGATGAAGTCTTGCTCTTTTGACCAGGCTGGAATGCAGTGGTGCAGTCTCGGCTCACTGCAACCTCCGCCTCCTGGGTTCAAGCAATTCTCTGCCTCAGGCTCCTGAGTAGCTAAGATTATAGCCGCTGCCACCATGCCCAGCTAATTTTTTTGTATTTTTAGTAGAAATAGGGTTTCACCATCTCCACCAGGCTGGTCTTGAACTCCTGATCTTGTGATGCATCCTCCTCGGCCTCCCAAAATGCTGGGATTACAGGTGTGAGCCACCATGCCCGGCCTCCATTAAGCTTCTCTTATCAGAGGTTAATACCATATCAGTTTCCTAGAAAGCCACACATACATGCATATATACACAGTACATATATGCACACAAACACACATATAGTTGTTCCTCAGGATCTGCGGAGGATTGGTTCCAGAACCCCCACGGATACTACAATCCAAGGATGCTGAAGCCCTTGTATAAAATGGTGTCATATTTGCATATAACCTAGATACATCCTCCTGAATACTTTATATCGTCTCTAGATTACTTAGAATGCCTAATACAATGTAAATGCTATGGTAATAATTGTTACACTATGTTTATTATTTGCATTGTTTTAATTGTTGTATTGTTATTTTTATTGGGGATTTTCCCCCATTTATTTTTTATCTATGGATATGGAGGGCTGACTGTGGTTTTCTTTCAACTCTATCCTATCATAGCAAATCTCAGAAATGAAAAACTTTTTATTTCCCTTGCTATCTGTTGACCTCCTCCCCCACCACAATAAGCTCTTGACAATAAACTCTTTCCTTATCCTTAATCCGCCCGCCCCGCCTTCTCTCAGTTACAGAGCACGGGGTTTTATACGGATATGCCCAGGTTTCTCAGGCCAAAATAGGGCTGCAAGCACCATGACAAATGGGAGTTTCAGGATTTTTCTGGGTCACCCAACCCCAGGGAAAGAGAGGGGCCATCCAGGGGCCTCAGATTCCCTCCCTGTCCCCCCTCACATCTCTAGAAGTCTTATGTGGAGAGCTCAGGTCAGAAGAATGGGTAAGTCTGCCCCTTTATGCCCCACCCCATTCAGTTCCTCAGTCATTTTTTTCCTCCAAAATATGTCTTGGCTGCATCCACTGTTTTCCATCTTTAGTCCCGCCACTCATCATCCCTTGTCTGGACCACTCTACCAAGTTCCTGTCTCGCAGTTGCTTTTTCCATGCTTGCACTCATAATAAGGAAGCCATGCTGATGTTTCCAAAAAGGAGATCTGACCAGTGAACACTCATTTGTAAAAGAGTCCACTGGCTCCCCAGTGCCCTCAGGATAAACCAGAATCCTGACATGGCCCACAGTACCTTCCACGACCTGGACTCCACTGACATTTCCAGGATCATTTTTGCCCCCTCTCCCTGATCCGTGTTCCTGCCACACTGGCCTTTTCAATTCCCACTGTGGGCAGTGCCAGCTTCTGTTTCCTCCTTGTGGAAGTCCCTTCCTCATTCATCTCTAGGCCAAGGCCAACGCATCCTTCATTTCTTACCAGTTTCTCTGATTCCTCTCCCCAGTCTTCATTAGATACTCCCCGTTATTCTTCCTTACAGAATCCATTTTATGTCATCAAATATGTATAAGTATATATTCACGTGGATATTTAGCATCTGTCTTGCAACTAGACTGAACCTGTGAGAGCAGAGACTCCCTTGCCTGTGCTGAGGGGTGATGAGCAGAGAGGTGGATGCATGTTTCGCCACAGGCCAGCTGACTGTTCTGATTCCCACGGGCCATGCATCAGTTCCCCTGTACTGTCTGGCTTCTCACCATAGTGTCTTGCTGAGTCAGCCAATGCTCAGTGTCATGATGCTATGCCTCACTGCCTTTGCCCAAGTCACTCAGATCAGTGTTGATCAAAAGATGCACCTCCCAGCCCTAAGCTGCCCTGGAAGATTTTAGCAAACTGGCTCTTTTCATTCTAGGGCCACTGCCAGCCCATCCAGTGCCCTTATGAGAATAGAAAAAGCTTCCCCTTCCTTAGGTAGATACTGCCCATGTTGGAGGGGACCATAGGCTGGATTTCAGCACTCCCCATGCTCATGCCAGGCACCCTTGTGTGTGGCATCACCCGCCCAGCCAAACATGGCAGCCTCATGCTGTTCTCACCATTTTGTTGCAAACCTCTCACTGTGGGTTCTAGCAAGTGTTGGCCAACAAGGGCAGGGCTCAAGGACAGTCCCAGAGCCAAGAATGGGGCTGTGCTCAGGCCATCTCAGATGTGCCCATAGCCTACACATGGGCACTGTGAAACATGATCTTTGGGGAGGAAATGCTTTTAAGGTAAAATGTAAGTGAAGGTCACTCTGCCACAGGTTAAGCTACTCTGTGAGGGTTTGTCTTCTAGTTGTGCCACTCTCTTGCTCAAGAATCTTCTCTGACTTCCTCCACCTGGCCACTCACTGGCCCTCAAAGCCGTGAGGTTCTCCTGTGCTCCCAGGTGCCCACCCCCTCTTATCAGCCTCCCTAAGTCCTCTTTACTCTTCACTCCTCTCCATGAAGCTTTTCCTATCAGAGGTTGACGCCGTCTCGGTTTCCTAGAAACCCATGCCATTTAACTTCCTGTGCATCTACCCCTAGTTTCCCCAGTCGGGCTGTAGACAGCATCCAAAGTGTCATTTGGGAAAGAGAGTCTCTGCGGGTCTTCTTCCCATCACTGGCTCCTCTAAGTCTGACAGTCAATTCCCACCAGAACATCAGCAAACCCAAGCCTCTCATCAGTCTAAGTCCTTGCTCTCAGAATTTGGGAGATGCAATGGGCTTTACCCTCAGGCAAAGCTAGATTTAAATTCTAGTCCCTCATGGACCTCACTGGGGCCCTACTGGTGAGTTACACAGTCACTCTGCCTCTACAGGGATTCTTCTGTCACCTGAGAAATTGCTTTCTGCCTCATCAGCACCTTTAATGTGGTTCCCCTACCCCAGCCCTAGCCCCTAACTTGTATTATTGCCAACAAAAGGATTAAAGGCCTTCCTTGCCCTTCTGTTTGTGGAGCGCCTTCTGGACACCTTTGGGTCTGTGTCATGAGAAAGTCCCCAGGGTCCCCGCTGTATTTGGCAGTTCAGTTTAGCATCCATGCTCTGCAGCTGTGTCGTGCCTTCATGTAGAAGATAGTAGATGAATTTCTGGAGAAAGTGTGGGGGATTGACACACTTTAATAGGGTTTTCCCCCATATATCTTGGTGTCTGAAGAAGCTAACCTCGGCATATGCTGTGTTCTGACCAATTCATATTTTTTATTCCATGTTATGAATAAATTGGATAACCCAAGCAAAATGTCATGTCATGTGGGAATGTTTACTTTCAGTTTCCTAAACAATTTGCTGTCAGACTAGGAAAGCCTGGAGTGTGTTCAGGACTTTCTATCCATAGATAAATCACTCAGGCATGCTATATTTTCACTTCTGTAAGAATGGCATTGTGGACAGAGAAAGAAAAGTATGAAAATTAGGCCAGGCACTGTGGCTCATGCCTGTAATCCCAGCACTTTGGGAAGCTGAGGCAGGTGGATCACTTGAGGTCAGGCGTTCAAGACCAGTCTTGCCAACATGTTGAAACCTTGTCTACTAAACTACAAAAATTATCTGGGTGAGGTGGCAGGTGCCTGTAATCCCAGCTACTTGGGAGGCTGAGGCCGGAGAATCACTTGAACCTGAGAGGTGGAGGTTGCAGGGAGCTGAGATTGTGCCACTGCATTCCAGCCTGGGAGACAGAGAGAGACTCCATCTAAAAAAAAAAAAAGCAAAAACAAAAACTCCAGATTTTCAGATTTCCACCTGCTGTTGTAAAATGGAAGATCTGCTGAGACAGATTTTTTTTAAAAAGTATGAAAATTACTGGCTGGATTCAGATCCTAGCACCATCATGAGCTGTCTGACTCTAAGCAAGTTTTTTAACTGCTCTGTGCCTGTTTCCTCTTCTGCATTAATGAGGATTAAAATTTTACCCATCTAAAGAAGACAGCAAATATTAAATGAGATCACGCACAATTGTGTTTGTTCAGCACAATTTCTGACACGTAAGGACTGATCCATGTCAGCTTTTGTTCTTACTACTCAACTGAAATGGATTCCTGTAATTTATGCAGTCTCTTTTCATAGTTTACCCCTTTCCTCAGGCACATGTTGTTTCCTGACTCCTGTTCAGCCAGAGGTGATATGGCTTGGCTGTGTCCCCACCCAAATCTCATCTTGAATTGTAGTTCCTATAATCCTCATGTGTCATGATAGGGACACTGTGGGAGGTGATTGAACCATGGAGATGGTTACCCCCATCTCGTTCTTGTGATAGTGAGTGAATTCTCACAAGATCTGATGGTTTTCAAGGAGCTTTTTCCTCTTTGCTTAGCACTTCTCTCTCCTGCTGCCCTGTGAAGAGGTGCCTTCTGCCATGATCGTAGGTTTTTTGAGGCCTCCCTACCCATGTGGAACTGTGAGTCAGTTAAACACCTTGGCTTTATAAATTACCCAGTCTTGGGTATCTCTTCATAGCAGCATGAGAATGGACTAATACAAGAGGAAAATAGGCTCAGCTCATTAGACTACCAACTCATTCCTCTAAAAAGTGAAAATATACAAGTTATATAATTTTCTTAAGTGGCACTGATCCTAATCATCCTTTGAGCTTGTTAACCAGACAGCTTTTTATTCCTTTCATAGAGAGCAACCTCCATCTTGAGAGAGTCCCTGGAAGCCAAAGTGGGAGTATTTGGTGATTTCAGTCCTGAGGTGGCAGAGACATACCGGCTCCTGGGAGGAGCAGACCTGGCGCAGGGGAACCACAGCGGGGCCCACAAGAAACTGAAGAAGGTAAAGCTGGAGCCAGTGCTAATATGAGACTAGGCTCTCCTTCCCCTCTCCAAGGTCCTCATGGTGGTTCTTTTAAATGAAACTTGAGAAGTAAGTGGCTTGTTCAGACAGGATGACATCACTTTTGTGGTAGATCTAAGCTAATACTTTTTGGGTGAAAGATGTAGTAAGTCTCTTAGACATATATATATTTTAAATGAATTATCAATTATTTTTACTATGCAAATGTTTTTAAATTTTTACATAGTATAATTTATCAGTCCTTTGTGTTTATGGTACTCTCTCTGTATACCGAGTTTATAGAGGAATTCGCTAACATTTTCTTCTATTGTCATTCTTCTTTTTCTGGTTTTAAATTTGGAGTTTATTTGCATGGATGATGTGAGGAATGGATGTAATCTTATCTTTTTTCCAAATGGCCACCCAGTTGACCAGCACCATTTCATTAGAGAGCCCATCTATGCTCCAGTGACTTCAGATAACACCTTCGTCATATACTGAATTTCCATATGGACTTAAGTCTATTTCTAGATTTCTGTTCTCTTTCACTAGTCTTTCTGTTTATTCATGTGCCAATAATTCACAGTTTTAATTACAGAGATTTTATAGAATGATTTAATATGTGGCAGTAGACACCCCCTATTGCTTTTCTTTTTCTAGAATATCAGGTGGTCTAGCTATTCTTCCATGCTTATTTTTCTACATGAATTTTTATATCAATTTGTCTGACTCAACAAAGTTTGCTAGTATTTTTATTGCATTATTTATAAATAAATTTTAGGAGAATTTACAACTTTGTGATATTGAGTTTACCTATCCAAGAACAAGAGGTATCTTTCCATTTCTTCATGCCTACTTTTATATCTTTCAGGCACATTAAAAACTGTTCTTCATATAGGTTTTGTGTATGTCTTATTAAGTTTAATTCTAACTATTCGATCTTCCTTGTTACTATATGGAGATTTATCTATTGTTATAACTTTTGATTTATTTTTGCATATATGAACCCAGTTGGTTTCTCTGTATAAATTTTATATCCTGCTAATTGCATAATTATTTTATTGTTTGAGTTAATTCAATCTCCCAGATTTTTTTAGGTATTCTGTTACATCATCTGCAAATAGACTTAGTTTTACTTTATGCTTTCCAGTTCTTATGCCTCTAGTTTATTTCTTTTGTCTAATTGCATTGGCTTATACCTCCAATAAAATAATAAACAGTAGCAGAGATAATGGGCATCCTTGCCATGTTCCTGATCTTAATGCAAATGCCTCTAGTGATTCTTCATTTAACAGATGCTGGTTTTAGACCTAAGGTTTATATATTTCTTCATGTTAAGAAAGTATCCATCAATTTCTATTTTCATGAATTTTTTTTAATTAAAACTAAATGTTGATTTTTACCAAAGGCTTTTTTCAGCATTAGTAGAGATGACCAAATGATTCTTCTTAGAGCATTTAAATGAATCACAATAAATAAGTTTATTTCACACTACCAGAGATTGGGTAATTTATAAAGAAAATAAATTCATTTCTTATGATTCTGGAGGCTGGGAAGTCCAAGATCCAGGGGCTGGCATTTGGTAGGGACCTTCCTGCTGCATCATCCCTTGGCAGAAAGCGGAAGGAAATGAGAGAGAGAAAGGAAGAGAGAGAAAAGGAGGCCAAACTCAGCCTTTCATAATGAAACCACTCCCAAGATAACAGCATTAATGTATGCGTGCGGACAGAGTCCCCATGGCCTAACCCCCTCTCATTGGGCTCCATCTCTCAACAGTGTTGCAGTTTGGATTGCAACACGTGCTTTTTGGGAGGAGCATTCAAACCATAGCAGATGTTGATTCTGTATGCTAACGTTTACTTTAGGATTTTTGTGCCAATATTTGTGTGTATTATTTGTTTAAGAATCAATGTTATATTTGTTTATAAAAATAATTTGGAAGTTTACCTTCTTTTTCATGCATTGAAAGAATTCATGTAGCTTTAACACTCAGTAGTCTTTGGAGGTTTGTGTCTTCTGTGGCATCCGTCAGGCCTGATGCTTCTTTTGTAGGGAAATTCCTTGACAGTTTTCTCTATTTCTTTTACCAAAAGTGGTTCTGCCCTAATGGGGTCATTTTGGCAAACTGTGTTTTTCTAGATAATTATCCATTTCACTTACATTTTCAGATTTATTTGCATGGAGATTTGCAAAGTGGTCTCATGAATTTTAAAACTTTCTACTTTTTGACAGTTCTTTTCCCATTATGATTTCTTCATTTTATATTTGGGGTTTTCTCCCTTTTTCCTTGACTTAGTTTGTGGTTTGCCTATTTTGTTAATTTTTTCAAAGAGCCAGGATTTTAATCCCATAAATCCTATTCTCCATTTCATTAATTTCTGATTTTATCTTTATTATTTCTGTCCTTGTGCTTTATTTTGCTTTGCTATGTTGAAATTCTTTTTCTATCTTTATGAGTTTGGAATTTAACTCATTCGTTTTCATTTTATTAATCTAGGTGTTTATGAATATGAAATTTTCTCTTATTATTACTCTAAATGTATCTCATAAGTTACATCATAGGCTTTTATTATATTAATTAGTTTCAAAATGGGGAAAACCTGGGAAACCCTAAGTAACATAACTGATTGAACCAAAAGAATTAACTTTAGTTCTGAGGGGCTGTCCTATAAGTCAAGTCATTTTCTCTTCTTACGATTTTTCTGATTCTGCTGCAAAAGGCACCAGATTTGGTAACATGTGTTCTGCCTATTTGTTAATGAGATGACACATATCTATTATGAGTTAGTTAGTAAATAGTTATTAAGCATCTTCAATAGGCCAGTTACTGTGCTAGCCAGACCTGGGGGAAAACAGTGACCAAGACAAATATGCTCCTTGTCCTTGTGAGTTCCCAGTCTAGCCAGGAAGAAGTATATGAAATCAATCATCTCTAATAATTTAAACGTTGGGGGAGGGATGGAGACAGCAAACCACCATGGCATGTCTGTACCTATGCAATAATCCTGCAGGTTGTAAGACGTGCACATGTACCCCAGAGCATAAATACAATAAAAAATAATAATACTTTAAACATTATCCATGTGCCAAAGACATTTGATGAGGGAGAGATGAGAAGGAAGCTAAGGGAAGCAAGTGCCTTGCGTTTCCCCATCTATCACCTCCATATAGTAGGAGCCAATGCTAGCCAGGTACGGTGGCTCATGCCTGTAATCCTAGAACTTTGGGAGGCCAAGGCAGGCAGATCACTTGAGACCAGGAGTTCGAGACCAGCCCAGCCAACACGGCAAAACCCTGTTTCTATCAAAATTCAAATAATTAGCTGGGCATGGTGGCCTGTAATCCCAGATACTCAGGAGGCTGAGGTGGGAGAATCACTTGAACCTAGGAGGAGGAGTTTGTAGAGAGCTGAGGTAATGCCACTACACTCCAGCCTGAGCAACAAAGTAAGACTCTGGAAAAAAAGAGCCAGTGTTTTCTGAGTGGTTGTCAAACCACTGGCACCAGGTTAAGTGATTTCTGTATATTAATTCATTTAAACCCAACTCTCAAAGCCTAAGAGTTGGTGTATTAGGCCATTCTTGCATTGCTATAAAGAAATACCTGAGGCCAGGTGTGGTGGCTCATGCCTGTAATCCCAGCACTTTGGGAGTCCAAGCTGGGTGGATCACCTGAGGTCAGGAGTTGGAGACCACCCTGGCCAACATGGCAAAAACTCATCTCTACTGAAAATATAAAAATTAGCTGAGCATGGTGTTACACGCCTGTAATCCCAGCTGCACAGGAGGCTGAGACAGGAGAATCACTTGAACTCTCAAGGCAGAGGCTGCAGCGAACCAAGATCATACCACTGCAATCCAGCCGGGGGGACAGAGCAAGAAAGACTCTGTCACAAAAGAAAAGAAAAGAAATATCTGAGACTGAGGAATTTATAAAGAAGTCAAATTGGATTATGGTTCTGCAGGCTGTACAAGCATGATGCTGGCATCTGCTCAGCTTCTGGGAAGGCCTCAGAGAGCTTTTACTTATGGTGGAAGGCAAAGTGGGAGAAGGCACATTGAATGGGGAAAGCAGGAGCAAGAGAGAGAGAATGGAGCAGTGCCACATACTTTTAAACAACCAGATCTCATGAGAACTCACTCACTGTCACGAGGACAGCAGTAAGAGCGTAGTGCTAAAACATTCATGAGAAATCCCACCCACAGGATCCAGTCACCTCCCACCAGGCCCCACCTCCAATATTGGGGATTATAATTCAACATGAGATTTGGGTGGGCACAAATATACAAACTGTGTCACTTGGATACCTCTACTCTGTATTTTACAAAGAGGGAAACTGAGGCTGGGAGAGACGTGTCTTGGCCTTGATCACATGGCTCAGAGTTGTTGGAGTGAAGATTTTTTGTATATTTAGTAGAGACAGGGTTTCGCCGTGTTGGCCAGGTGACCTCTATCACACAGAATATACTATATGGTCATCTGGACTTCCAGGTAAGACTTTTTTTGAACAAGGGTTTCCTGGGTTTTAAAAATGTTTGGAAGCGACTGGCACAGTGGGGAGAATGCCAAGGCCAGGACAGCAGGAGTCTTTGGGTTGCCACTGAAACTAGCTTAGGTATAAAGGGGCGTCTATTGTCTTGTGATTTCCAAATAAAGGCTTGTGATAAGCTGGCATGGTGCAGCTGAGCCTCAGCTAGACTCTCATGCCAGGAGGACTCTCTTTGTCCAGGAACTTCTTGCTCCTTTCTGCACACCATCCTCCTCCTCTCTCATGGCAATGTCTTCCCTCAAGGTGAAGATCAAGGCTGCCAACACTCCAGAGTTTTACTTTCTGTCTCTGTGTCTTTTCTTGTCCCAGCTTGAAAGACCTTAGGGAAAGACTGACAGGCCTGGCTAGAATCCAGTGCCCACCCCTGGCTCAGTCAGCCAAGGCTAGTTGAGTGGTAAGCTATAAAAACATGGTGCTTCCAAGGTAACTGGATGGCCTGGGGTGGAGGTGA